TTTTAACCTCAAAATAATTTCTCTTCAATGATTTTTAAAAGCCTTATTGATTCTTATATGTGTTATATAGTCCCCTCTTCTGGGGTTCTCTTGGGCGATAACGTCGATTCACTCATAGTGATGTTGACTTCTCTCTCTCTCTCTCACACACACACACACACACACACACAGCTGGTGATCGCTAGTTGGTTTTAGTTTCGAGATAAAAGATAACTTCAACAAAGGAATTTTAAACTTATCTATTTTTATTCACCACGTCGACGTGTACATTTCTAAGCAGCCAGGGGAGTTGCTATTCCACCACACTTGGAAGTAGTTTCCAGACATGAAATTCACACGTTTACATTGTTCGACGTGTAAGAACCATTTCACTGAAAGCCCTTTCTCTATCTATCATTCTCACGCTAGTTTTAGCCAGTCATAATCGACTTATTTAGTTTTCCTGTATCTGACCTCAAAGGTCAAAATGAGGAATTCAGAGCAGAAATACATATAAATAACTAATAGTCTGTTAAACTATTATTTAACATATGATTTAATTTTATCTTTTCAACTTTTGCTACGATCATAAGATCTCTCCTTTTAATGAGGGCCGACGATATAATATAAAAGCATTGACAACTGTATTAATGAATTAATGCAAATTATTCTTTTACACTAATATATTGAAAATTACTTTGCTACAATATTGGTAATAGTGAGATTAATCGTTTCCTTATAAGGAAACATTTGGTATTCATTGACCATACATTTAGCATTATCGGTTGAAATTTATAAAATCTTTCTCTTAGAACAATTTCTCAGGAAAAAAATGACTTCTTATATAGCCTCGTCAGGTGAAGATTTTCATGCGAATGTCATGAATGCCGCCAATCCAGTTCAGAAATATCTAAACTGTCAGCTGTATATGAACACATTCTCCTCAGGGTCAGTGATTAAGAATAGCTTTGAGTAAATGAAGCCTGTAGGTCTTAATGTAGGCCATCCTTATTAAGACCTCGTGGCTTGGAGCTACAGAACTGCAAACAAAGAATTTTGCCAAATAACAGAAACAACACCACATGAAGACTACCAACAGCAAGAACAACTAAAATGGATAACACATGTTACTCGAAGAGAAAATAAGAATATGATCATGATGTTGGCGTTTCACACTATTACAAGCCAAATTTAGGAATAGACTCCATCACTACAAGAAACTTCGATAGCAGTGGATTCGAGAAAGTTATTTTTCCTGGTTTGATCAAAGAAGGACAAATGTTTCTTTATAAAGAAACGGCTAATACTGCCATTGCGATGACCATTCTATTGGAAATTGAATCGTTACAAGAATACACCTATCAATACTGGAAAGAGTTAATTAACAATGGACTTGGGAAACCTATTTTCCTGAAAAAAGGTTTCAATAGAAAGATTTTATAAATTTCAGTCGGGCGTAGCAATGGCTGAACGATGTTTCCACATAAGGATGTCGAATGATTCCACATAAGGAAAACGGCTAATATTACCATTACCACTTGATGTTTAATTTTTCTTATCTCCTATACTAAATTTATTATAACTGATCCATACACTGATATATTTGAAGTGTTTAGTATATATCAATAGAATGTATTTTACTGTAAAAATGCATTGTAAATTATTTTGATATGATCATATTAGCAATCAAAAAGAGGAGGACATTTATGCATACAGATCAGAAATTCTAACACTAATTAAAGTAACTATGCGCCCTAGTAATGATCAAAATCAGGCTTTCTGTTCTTCTGTGAAACCTATAAAAATGTTATAAAAGTGATTTACGGATGCACACTCCGTTTTATAAAGAGAGATACAAGTACATTGCTAATGGTTTTATTAGAGAAAGTAATTTACTATAAGAATGGGTTTTAAATATTTCATTAAAGGAATCCATTACGACGAATCCATAGGTTGCATTGCAAATTATTTTAGCGGGGAATTGTATAAACAATTAACTATGAATTAATTACAAATTATTTTACTATAGGAATGCATTACCAATAATATTACTATAGGGTGCATTGAAAATTAATATATGATACGAAAGCGTTGTAAAATAATTTTGCGATAAAAATGCATTGAAAATTATTTTACTATAGGAATGCATTACTAATAATATTACTTTCGGCAGTATTGAAAATACGATACGAAAGCGTTGTAAAATATTTTACGATGAAAATGCATTGAAAATTATTTTACTATAAGGGTACGTTGGAAAATATTTTCATATACGAATACATTAGAAATTACTATAAAAATTAATTGAAAATTATTTTACTATAGGAAGACAGAGGAAAATATTTTACTTTACGAATACATGTGAAATTATTTTACAATAAAAATGCATTTGAAAAAAGTATTTTATTTAACTTTTTTTTTTAACTGTAGTCTTCCACTTCGAATTAACTTATTTCAATACACATCGAAAACTATTTTAATACACGTATATTTTGGAAATTAATGTAGAAATTCATTGAAAATAGTTTTACTATAGGAATACACTAACAGTATAAGCCGTCTTTGACCAGGTCTTTCATTACAGGGAATTTTTGCTGTTCATTTGGATCAGTTTAAGTTTAAAGTCAGCCTACCTGAAAATCAATATTAGTAACAGCATTTGGGTGCAACTGAGGCACATCCCCCAAATGGCAGGATGTAACAATTTGAAGGGGGGTGGCCCTAAAAAAGGAACTGTATAATAATAAATAATATTATTGTAATTTAAAATGTTTATTTTTATTAAAGTTTTTATGAAAGATATATATATCCAAGAACAGATAATAAACAGTAAAAACGTTTCGAGACTTATAATGGACAGGAAGTAGTGAAGAGCCATTGTCGCCAACAATTTGGACCCAAAAACGGAACTGAAGAATTATCAATCAAACAAAAAAAATTTCATCAAAATCGGATAAAAACTGTGGAAATGCATAAACAACATTCACACACACACACACACACACACACACACACACACACACACACACACACACATTTTCAGAATTATAGATATAGATTTGAATTTATTTTACTATTGGAATCCACTGAATATAATTTTCTTATATTAAGGCATAGTAAATTATTTTATTATAGGAACGCATTGAAAATAATTTTCTTATATTAAGGCATAGTAAATTATTTTATTATAGGAATGCCATGAAAATAATTTTGTTATAGTAAGGTATAATAAATTATTTTATTATAGGAATTCATTGAAAATAATTTACTTATATTAAACTCTAGTAAATTATTTTATTATAGGAATACACTGAAAATAATTTATTATAGTAAGGTATACTAAATTATTTTACTATAGGAATGCATTGAAAATAATTTTATTATAGTAAGGCGTAGTAAATTATTTTATTACAGGGATGCATTGGAAATAATTTTATTATAGTAAAGCGTAGTAAATTATTTTATTATAGGAATGTAATGAATATAATTTTCTTATAGTAAGGGATAGTAATCTATTTTATTATAGAAATGCATTGGAAATAATTTTCTTATAGTAAGGCATAGTAAATTATTTTATTATAGGAATTCACTGAAAATAATTTTCTCATAGTAAGGTATAATAAATTATTTTATTATAGGAATTCACTGAAAATAATCTTATTATAGTAAGGTATAATAAATTATTTTATTATAGGAATTCACTGAAAATAATTTTATTATAGTAAGGTATAATAAATTATTTTATTATAGAGGTGTATTAGAATATTGGTGGATGTAGGGATAATGTGATGGTTATCGGCGCAGAAATTGAAAATGACCTGAATTCAAATTTCGGTCTATTCTGTCTCGTTCACTTCACGCTAATACCCTTATAAAAGTCATGAGTCCATCTTCCTCAAGCTATGGGCTAAATAGCCAGAAAGGGTTCTCTAGCCTTGGATAGCAACCAGTCTAGGAGAAATAAAATACTCAATTCAAAAGCAACTTGAAGAGTGATGGACCTCGTCATGTTATCTTGCTCCAGAAACACCATTGAGGTTACGGCTGCAATACAATTGCTTCCCTTACAACCGTTATACGTCGGAAGACCCGTGTCTGAAAAAAAATTGCATGTCTTAAGGATTTATTAATAGTTTTGTTATAACCTAAGAAATCAAGATATGCTCTTAAAATTGCCTCATCAGATCGAGGCTTTCATATGGATGACGCACACCTCATTCAGAAATGTTTAAGGTGTCAACTGTATACAGCCGCCTTCTTAGATCAATGATTAAAAATGGCTTCCAGCGAATGGGCGCTGTGACCGAACGTTGTGGATTGGTCCTATCGAATAACAAACACATGACTAAATGTACCAAATAAGCGAAGCCACATCACTTGAGGACTTCCAGCAACAACTAAAATGGATAGCACATATAAATCAAATAATAAATAATGACAAAATCAAGATAATGAATTTCCACACAATTTCAAACGAAAGTTTAGGAAAGAAACCCCAGCAATACTGGAAAGTTCGATAGCAGTTATTAGACTTGAGAAGCCTATTTTTCCTGAAAATTTGCTTAAAAGAAAAAGATTATAAATTTCAACAGCACTGGTTGTTCGGTCAAATGTTTCCTTATAAAGAAACAGCTAATATTGCCATTATGATGACCATTCTATTGGAAACTGAATCGTTATAAGAATACAATGAATTTCGGATTTAGGCAAATTAGGGAAACTAAATTGGGCTGGTAACTTATCAGCACCTCCAAGCTATTTATGTAAACTGTGTATATTATAGGTACAATTGATGAAACATTAAAGTTTACGCTAATCATTGCAACATCTTCTCGTATTATAAGAAAATTAAATAGTAATGACGATTGCATTTTTTGTGCCGAATGTATCTAATCCTCTAACAGAAGGCAATTTTCTTATAAATTTTTCTTAAATTCCTGGAAATAAATGATTTTACCAAGTCATCATCTCTAGACTGATTGTCAACCAAAGCTTTATTGGTCCTGCTATTTACTCATAGCTTATGTGAAGAGATGGAGGAGAGAACAGATAGATAGATAGATAGATAGATAGATAGATAGATAGATACGAATGAACTGATAGATAGATAGATAGATAGATAGATAGATAGATACGAATGAACTGAGATAGATAGATAGATAGATAGATAGATAGATACGAATGAACTGATAGATAGATAGATAGATAGATAGATACGAATGAACTGATAGATAGATAGATAGACATACACACGCACCCACTCTCTCATTCTCTATCACACAGACACCCTCTTACACACGCATTCTCTCATACACACACTATCTCATTCGCTCTCACTCATTTTCACACACTCTCTCTCACACATGCACACATTCTCTTTCACTCTCTCTCGCGCTCACTCCCACACTCTCACTAAATAAATCTCTCACTGCACACTCACACTCTCTTTCTCTCTCTCTCATACACACACACACTCTCTCTCTCACACACACACACACACACTCTCACTCACTTTCACATATTCTCTCTCTTACACACACTTTCTCTCACTCTCTCAGTCACGCTCACTCACACTCTCTTTCACTAACTTTAATTCTGGATCACTCACACACACACACACACACTATCTCTCTCTCTCACACACACACACACACATACACACTCCCCCTTTCTGTCCCCTCTCTCTCCCTCTCTCTCTCTCACTCCCTCTCACACACACAAAAAAAATAGGAAAACATTTGATAACGAGTTTTATTCCGTAAGCTTAGAAACTTGGATAATTCTTTCTCTCTCTCTCTCTCACACACACACACATACACGACACACTTTCTTTTTCAGTCACACACTAGCTCTCACACACACAATTTCTCTCTTACACACACTCTCTCTCTCTCTCTCTCATGTACTCTTTCTCTCATACACACACACATTGTATCTCTCTCACTCCTTCTCTCTCTCTCTCTCTCTCACACACACACTCTCTCTCTCTCTCTCCCATTCTCTGTCTGTCACACACACGCGCGCGCAAAAGAAAAGGGGAAATAGGAAGACAATTATTTGGGATTTTCTATTTAATATTCAGGGACTCTTGGAGATCAGTGATTTACTTCACAAGGTGAAATTCTTGAATCTCTCTCAACTTATTTGTGCTCAGCTACAATGGAATGGCGTTTGGTTTCTCTTCATGAGGGCGCCTTTGTTCGCGTAATCGAGAAAGCGAGAGAATAAATTTGTTTGCTTAGTCAAATATGCGCACATGAATAAATAAAAGTAAAATAAAAAGATGTTGGAAACAATGGACGCCAATTAGATTCAGATTGACAAAACAAATTGGAGAAACAGGAACGAAATCGAATTATAATGAAGATAATAGGTTGCACTAGTGTTCGAATGCAAAAGTTCACAGCGCCATCTTGTTCTCAATGAGAGGAAAACCCGTTTGCGGTATTATACGGGAATATACATTGTACTCAAATCTCACACCAGATATAAAAAAAAATACAGTTGCACCCGAGAGCTAACATGGGATCAATCCTGGCTACTGAATGCAGATGTGTGTGACATCTGTAAAATCAATCATTAAGACAGTGCTAAATCAGGATGAGCTGATTAAAAGAGCTGCGTCGGAATATGGCGACGACATATATGTAAACGAGGACATACTTTCGGCGAATGAAGTCAGGCACAGATTAGAATCCTTCGGCTTGTCTAGCAAAGACCCTATTCAATTAATGGATGGGACCATTGTGCTTAGGCTTAAAGTCTGGGGGCGGAGCACAAGCCATTAGAAATCAAAGGAAGACGGTGATGTCGCTGGTTGAAGCGAATACCTGTAGTGTTTGCCCGTGTCGTAATAGAAGAGTAGCAACAAAATGCCACAGGTATACACGAAAAAAAGGAATATACAAGTCATATATATATATATATAATTATTAGGAGGATTTGATAATTATATTTAATTAATTCATCGAGTCTGAAAGAAACCTCAACAGAATGCAGAAAGCACTAGACGGCCGTTCCGCCTTATATTTGATACTCATCAGCAGTGCGCATCCACTACCGAGAATTGAAACCCTGAGAGTTAGGTTGTCAAGCAAACCTCATGCCAACTGTACCACCGGGCCTCAGCGACGAAGAAATTGCAAATCAGACTCAATATAGTGCCACTCGCTCACATATTCCGTGGTGGAACCATACTGCGTTCTCTCTAACCATAGGACTGTGACCCCCACGAGCCACGACTACTATCACCAAGCCGCTCAATCTAGAGCATCAGAAGCCGGTTCAAGCGATGATATACACAGATAGTAATTATTAGGAAGATTTGATAATTATATTTATTTTTTTGATGTGTCCCAAATATACGACGAAACGGCCGTCCAGTGCTTTCTGCTGGGCTTTCTATCAGACTCGATGAATTAATTTTTATATATATATATATATATATATATATATATATATATATATATATATAATATGATTTCAACTCGCGACATAAGAGGTCTCATGTTTCAAAACTTCAATATAATTATTTGAATTAAATTGAGTTAAAGTTCTGTTCCATCTTCAAGAAAAATATATATATATATATATATATATATATATATATATATATATATATATATTTTTTTTCATATAGACAAAAACAATTTATTCACGACAAAGATGCAACTACGTTTCGGTGCATTTACTTGCTCTTCGACTGGTGAGAACCAACGAAGTTGCATCTTTGTAAATTGTTTTTGTCTATATGAAAAAATGTTTATACGTTCTTTTTATAGATACAAATATCTACGTAAATGCTCTATTTATATTAAACAGCAATAACGGCATTTACCGGCCTGAATGCCCGAGAAATCTTTATAGAAAATATGCGTCCTCCGAGAGGCATCGAACCTGTATCCTATACGGAACCGTCATATAGCCTGAAGTGTTTTTTTCGATTGAGCCATAGAGGAGAGTTTCAATTAGCAAGGTCGATTTTACTGTTTTTAAACTACAATTCTCCTTGATTTTCTCTCGTACATTCATATCTGCCAAACCAAATGTGAACAAATGACGTCACAATTATTTTAAAATGTCTTTATATATATATATATATATATATATATATATATATATATATATATATATATATAATCGATTCTCCCGTCGACATTCGATGTATGAGGGTCAAGCAGATCAGTTTCAAGGAAACCGACAGCCCGACACCGGCACATGAGATTTGATAATAGTGGTGAAGGCCTCGTGCAGGACCATCCACACTTTTTTTGAAGGGACGAATACAGAGACCTGGTGCACCGAATGCCACAAGGTTCCCAAAACGACCCTCCGCAGGTTTTGAATTCAGAGTTGTCCTTCTCCTAGACCAGTTGCCATCAAAGGCTATAGAACCCAGTCTGTCCTGCTATTTTACCCATAGCTGGATATATATATATATATATATATATATATATATATATATATATATATATATATATATATATGGGTTTGTTTTTGAAATGAGAGAATGGGGAACCTGCAGAAATACGAACTAATAGCTGTAAACAGATAGATAGATAGATAGATAGATAGATAGATAGATAGATAGATAGATATTTTTACAATGAGGTTACCCCTGTACAAGGCCCGGGACCCACTCGAGTTAGAGGGTTGCAGAGGAAGAAGTGCAGTTTAGGTGGATAGGTGGTTATAGTGATCGAGGAAATATCCACTTGGACGTATCGTTCCTGCATCTGATCTCTGAACTCGGTAGTGGCTCCGCAACCCCAGGCTGAAGGCGCAGAGTCTGTAACATTGGGGGCACTGAAAGTCCGTTGTCGTAATCACTGCTGACGATACCTTGTGGCGTTGATCTTTGGCAGCGTTGAGCTTCTGTCGTCGAGCATCCTCGAAGGTGACAGCTGCACCATGGACTGTGATTTGCCAACGTGGTCGATCACTGGTACGCTTCTCAAGTTCTTTGGGTTTGAGCTTACACCCCTGGAGATTTGCTTTCCCAATGTCTTTGTACTACTTCTTCGGGCGGCCCTGGTTTCTCTTGCCGTGCAGGAACTCTCCGTGCAGCAGACGTCTTGGCAAGCGGTGCTTCTCCACGCGAATGACATACCCACCCACCGGATCTTTAAATATGCATATGAAAAAAAGAATACATTTATTTTTAACACTTACAAAAAATCAAGCCAAAATTGATGATTAAAGTGCAACTGTTGTTTTGCAGTGCAAGGCTTTTCAAAGTCGAGCATGATCAATTTAACTTGTCTCATATCTTTCTCTGCATTTAGCCTTTTTCTATACTAGAATTTTTTGCAACATGCTGATGCATGATGAAATGCTCACAATATGTGGTATTGTTGAAGTTATCTCTAACATTTTTTGTCGACATTTACAAACTCTACATTTCGTTCAATTTCACAAACCAATTGATGAAATTTGAATAAGCTGATTTGATTTGTTCTAAAAGATATTTTAACAAAAACCCTACTTCGCAGTTTTTATGCACCCTAGTAAAACCAGCTGTACTTTTGTACCCTCTTACCTGTTTGCATTTCTTCTCAAAATTTGATTTCAATTGGCCAATATATGGCTATTTTAGAGGGTGTGATGGATGGAGTAATGGTTTGTTTTACAGCATGGGTTATTTAATGCCAACAAAATTTTTATTGCTGGTAATTTTTTTTTTCAAAATGTATTTCTGGTAATATTTTTTCTTCAAAATTCTATTTCAGGTAATATTGTCTGGGTCACCCCACTGGTCTTTTGAACACGAATAGAGGTTTTTTTTATACTTGTGATTTGTATTGTAATTATAACTTAATCATATATATTTTTATTCTGGAGCCATCAGTAAACTATAGTGTCAATTACCTATATGAGCAGATAGATAGATAGATTCTCCTATAATAGTAGTAGATAGATTCACCTATACAACAGTAGAGGTTTATCCCTTGTTTCCTGTTTAGGATTGGGTTTCCGGTTCTTCTCATTCTCTTTCACTCTCAGTAGATCTCTGACTCTTAATGGCATTATCACCTTACTTGGGGTGAATTGATTAAAAAAAAAAGTGTTTAGTCATTAGTCCAGTACAGCGAAACTATCTATTTGTTGTAGAGTAGTTTCACAGTGGAGGCTTGTATTTCACTAAGTCGGCCCTAAAAAAAAGGTTCGACGTACAAAACGTTAGGAACTTGAAATAATAGTTAATGACGCAGCAATCTAGTTGTGGTGGTTGATACTTTAATGTCCGACATCGACTGACTCACCAACTCACTGAGCTCCCTGGCGACTGCCACTACTACTACTTATTATATGTGGGAGAGTATATTAACAATAGAATAGGTGTGTTTCAGTATAACATCTCTCCCTAAAACTTTACTTTCGTAGGAGTAAAAAGTTTTATTTATTTATTTTTAATTTTTTGCAGAAAATATGAAGAAAAAAAACAACAATTTTTTTTTTTTTTAGCAACATCGTAGCGTATTTCCTACGTTTTTTGATCCTCTTTTAAATGATCAGTTGCCTTTCTTTTTTCTACTGGGTCGGCGTACCTCAGGTAAAATTATTTGCAGGCGTTGTTAGATCAAACGTATTGAAAATCACCTCCATCGGCGTTTTTTTTTTTTTTTTTTTTTGGCGGGACCGCAGTCAACCACGTCTGAAAAACGTCGTCTGATCTCGTGAGTTTTTCCCCTTTCACCAAGTACATCATATAGCCAATCCGCTTTTCTATTTTTTTTTATACCTCCATAGTGTTACCAGAAACAACCTTCCGCTTTGAGCTTCTTAAAGATGGAGTCACAGTTTCTGTAGGTTCTTCTTGTTGACTTAAATCATTTAATAATACTGCATCTCCTTGGCTGCGGGTAACTCGATCCCCAGTTTTTTTCGGTGTTGATTTCATCCTTACTTTCTGGAGCTTGTTTTTCACATATATCGTCGGTGTTACCCATTCAACTTTTTTTTAAATACACCGGTTTTCTCTAATCTGTCCAATTCTTTATCTATCTGTTCAATTGAAGCAAACGGCACATTCCTTTTCTTTTTGAATACCGCCTGAGCGTTTTGTTTTGCCTGTAATTTTGCCTCCATCTTGGTACACGTTCCCAAACCTGGAGAAAAAACAGTAGGAAATGTTCCCTTAAGTTTCTTTACTAATTTTTGGGCTTCGTAGTTTAAAAAATCTACCTTGTAACAGAAAGAATTTATCAGTAAATCCCATAATTGAAATTCTGTTATCCAATTCGTACCAAGTAAGTTCGTGGTATTTTCTATGACAAATAGTTTAGCTTTTCGTGTTGTTTTATTTAACGTGACGTTTGTAACAAATTCTCCAATAAATTGTATTTTTCTCCCGTCACTGACCTCGCGATTTTATTTGTTTTCATTAAAGTTGGTTTCCCCAACTTCTTCCACGTATGCAAATTTATGATAGATAGGTCGGAACCAGCGTCGAGTTGCATTTTTATTTTCTTATTACTTATTTCAACAGTAACAAGTTTTCTGGTTATCCCAGCGTTCACCTCGTCGGACTTTAATTTTCTTATTTTATTGTCTTTATTTTTTGACCTGCAGTGCGAGCTTTTATGACCCACTCTTTCACAGTTGAAACATTTTTTATTCCGAAAATTACAACATCTGTACCAGTCGCTAACATTTTTTGTCGATATTTACAAACTCTACATTTCGTTCAATTTCACAAACCAAATGATGAAATTTGAATAAGCTGATTTGTTTTTAAAAATACATTGACAGAATCCCTATTTCGCGGATTAATAATTTCGTTAATTTAATTTAATTTTATAGGACTTCCTGGTAAACAATATTTTTAAAAATTTCTTTTCTCTTTTTTCCTTTTTAACAGCAAAGAATAAATTCTTAGGATTTCTTACTCTTGAGCATGCAACATGCAACTCGCCATGCGTAAATATTTCTTTTTGGAACCAAATTCCAACTGTTTGAAGAGTTTGGCCTTTGTTTATAGTTCTCGCAAACGCAGGGAGACCTGGAAATTGATTCTTGTATATAAAAAGGGATATGCAAAAACAATATTGCATTTTTATTAAATAAGTATTAATTATTTTAATCTTTAAATTGTTTTTTTTTTAATGGAAGTATTTTGTGTGGTAAATAATAAAACTTTTAATTTTTCAAAAAAAATAAATGAAAATTTATTGTACTCAGCTACGCCCTCGAGTTAAACCAACTGTATTTGTACTCATTTACCTGTTTGCACTTCTCCTCAAAATTTGGTTTCGATCGGTTTCGTCCGCCACAGACTCTGAAATAACCATACATTGGTATGGTTATTTCAGAGTCTGTGGCGGACGGACAGACAGAAGTCACAGAATTTTATACATAGTTTTTTGTAGATGCGAACTGGTCCAATCGTAAACAAACAGGGAAATTTCTTCAAAGAATAATTTTTGTGTATGAACATTAATTAGACTTTCCTCATGCCATGAGAAGACACATTGAAAAATATTTATTTTTTATCGATTCAGAAGGAGATCCTGTTCATAATATTGACACAGATTGAAATCGGTTCCAGACTTTTTAAAGAGTTAGGCCCTCTGATCGGCAGATTGGAGCTTTCAAAGAGCGATTTTTGAATTGCTGTTGGTCCCAGGTCCACCCTGACCCGAAGTGGGGTCCCGGCTATGGGCAAATATTGAATCCCCAAGTAAAAATCAAAACACTGGGAAAGTATTGTTTTTCTAGTAATAATACCAGAAATACATTTTTATAAAAAGGTACCAACAATACATTTTTATCGTAAAATTACCAACAATACATTTTTGTAGAAAAATGCATATTGCTAGTAAAATGGCCAACAATAAATTTTTATAGCAAAATATAAAATGCAAGCCTAAAATATTTTTATACTAAATAAAATTAAATTTTTATAATGAAATATCATGTCAACACTAAAAAGTATAAAAGACATTTTATAGCAAAAATACTAGCAATACATTTTTAGTTAAAAAATTGTCAACGGTACATGTTTGTTGTTAAATTACCAGCACTAGATTTCTTTTAATTACTACAATAATTTTCATCATCTATAAACTATATATCTTAAAAAAAAACATACGTTTGCCCAAAAAGTATATAATTATATATAAAATATCTGTAGCTGAAACCATAAAATTGCGTTCAAAATATTTAGATTTCGGCATTAAATAACCCATAGAGGTGTTGATATGCCGCTAAACAAAATCAACTAACCAGATAAGAAGTTTTTTAAAGACTTGGTTGATTTTACAACACGTCAAGCTTTGCTAGGTTATTCTATGTTGCATTTTTGCATGGGATACTCAGAGAGGATCGAACTCACTACTCAGTAGTAATGGTCAGCCAGACTAACCTCCCTAACTAATATCTTACCACACACAGAGGTGTTTGAATCATTTGAGTGAAAAACGAGAATTCGTTTTCTTTGCGTCCTTTCATAGGAAGCAACATTCAGAAATGTGGGCCCCTTGTTAATTGTAGAAAGATGAGAAAGAGATATTTTATTCACGGGAGACATATTGTTTTTGACACACGCCCGTGCGAATCACGTTTACCTTTGGTTAATCGCGCATAAAATGTGCCTTCAACGAGAACTGACTACTGGCTATGATAAAATCAACGCATAATTTGTTTACGCGATAAATTAATTTATACCTTCGAGTATGTCGATAAATATGGTTGTAAACAACTGCGTATGTTTAAGATTCTTTTTTTGCAGGAATTGATTCTTTAGATTTTTATTCGTTTTGTTTGGATAATGAAAACAGTTGAATTAGATTGATTGCAAGAATAAAATTTAGCAGAAATGGAATTGTGGTAATTATAATGCCGGAATAAAAACGCATACATATTCACAGACCGAGAGAGAGAGAGAGAGAGACAGAGACAGAGACAGAGACAGAGATTGTTTTGAAGATAGATAGATAGATAGATAGATAGATAGATAGATAGATAGATAGATACGTACATACATAGATAGTCGAATATAAACAGACAGAGATGGATTTCTATAGATAGATAGATAGATAGATAGATAGATAAATAGTCGACTATAAACAGAGATGGATTTCTATAGATAGATAGATAATCGGCTATAAACAGAGATGGACTTATGTAGATAGATAGATAGATAGATAGATAGATAGATAGATAGATAGATAGATAGATAGATAGTCGGCTATAAACAAGAGATGGATTTATGTAGATAGATAGATAGATAGATAGATAGATAGATAGATAGATAGATAGATAGATAGATACATAGTTAGATAGTCAAATATAAACAGAGATGGATTTTTATAGATAGATAGATAGATAGTCGGCTATAAACAGGGATAGATAGATAGATAGATAGATAGATAGATAGATAGATAGATAGATAGATAGATAGATAGATAGATAGAATGAAAATGAGAGAAACAAACAGACACACATCAATGTTCGCCGTCGAATATATACTCACACTCGCCAATTGAAGGCAATGCCTTGGCGTTTCAATAATGAGTGCCTCCGAGCTGACAACAGATATTGAAAGTGGATGCAGGCCAAGCATTTGCGAGCTTTCGCTGGAAGCTATCTATTTATTCATGGAATCCAGCCAACAGAAACAGACTACAAGGACGGCTTGTTCATTAGGAAGCAGAATTGGTTCTTGGAATAAAAGCCACTGATTATTTTCACACAACTTTCGTTTGGTACATTTGATCAAACATCTTCACAGTCATTTGCCGTAGTGTCGTTATTATCCTTATTTTGATAATTAACATGATAATTAAAAAAAGTCCACGTTATCATTACCGCGACTATTGTTGCTACAGGGGGTGCGGAAAAATTCTACGCCTGTCCTACATCCTTAAAGAAATGATTAAGCATCAGTTTTTTTTTTGGGGGGGGTAAGTTCTTTTGATCGGAAAAGGCGCGCAAACGGCGATAAATCTTATACAAAAGTCGGAAAACACATTGCAATAAAAAAAAAGTTGCCTTTCAAAAGCGAAACATAGTATCAAGAAAGAAAAAAATGTTGAACTTTTAAGTGAAATCACTCCTCCAATATGGCAGTGAATGCTGGGAAATTTTTCCACAAATAAAAAGGTAATCTGAGGCAGCAGAGATATGGTTGTACAGATGTCATCGAGTTAATGCTAACGATCCTTTCCTTAGCTGCATAGTATATGCTTCGACAGGGCTACATATAGTTTTGAATTCAGAGTTTTCCTTCTCCTAGACCGGTTGCCATCCAAGGCTATAGAACCCAGTTTAACCTGCTATTTATCCATAACTGAGGGGAGAAGAGAAAAGAGGGATTCATACCTTTCCCAATGGTATTAGCACGTAACAAAAGAGATCGATGACATGTCTGTGACACAAGATGAAGAATTAGTGTCTGTCTATATTTCTGAGATGAGGTATTATGTACACTATTTCAATTATTCGGACTATTGTCCAGATCTGTGTCGCAATATTTATTACAACGTTTAGACCTTTCAGTATCTGTCTATATTTCTGAGATGAGGTATTATGTACACTATTTACATTATTCGGACTATTGTCCTCATCTTTGTCGCCATATTTATTACAACGTATCGGCCTTCTTCAGGTGGTTGGAATGTCCAACTGAACTCTTTATTTCGCTCACTGAGGTAGACTGTTCTAGTTCCAAATGGATTTCAGTTATCAGTTATCTCCTGTTAATTCCCCTCTCCAAGTTCTCCACTGCCTTAACCGGATATTGAACTCACACTCTTTGGGTCCTGTCACGGGATCTAACCAACGCCTTTATCCACTGTGCCAGGTGTCCTCAAGGAGAAGGGAATTAACAGAAGATAACTGATAACTGACATCCATTAAACATGGCACGTGGAACTAGAACCGTCTACTCCAGTGAACGAAATAAAGAGTTCATTTCGACATTACAACCACCTGAAGAAGGGCGGAGCGTACAACGACCGAAACGTTTTAATAAATATGGCGACAAAGATGAAGACAATAGTCCGAATAATGTAAATAGTGAAGAATGAGTGCTTGTAGAGTTTGACACACTCAAGGTGTGTTGATAGTAGAGGCAGAAAGAAAAACACACAATAATGGAAAACGAGAAGGAAGGACTATCAATTGTATGAAGACGGTATATATAGTCTTTTAGCAAGAGGGATTGTCTAAGATGTGAGCTATGAATTTGTGAAGTCAGCGTCAATCAAATTAAAAAACAATTAAATATTAATATTAACACGGAAGTGTTATAACAATAGATGAAAAATCTGATATCCGAACATGCATTTGGGATGGTGAAATACGCCTTCCAAAGCTAAAGAAAGTAAAGGTTGTTCCAGTAACTTCGACCGATTTTAAATACGAATTAAGTTTAAGTGTCTAATGATTTTTTTTCTTTTTCTTTCAGATTTAACAACTTAAGTCTTTGGCAATTTCAACCATGGAAAGATTACCAATCAAACAACGTGTTAAAGTTATCGAAGCCTCTTCCGAAAATGGACGTTCAAACAAAAATGTGTTTTGCGCACAAAGCGATTTTTTTGGTCAACATAATCGACCAGCTGAGAGTGCAATTGAAAACGATGTAACGTTGTTGTGGAGAGGTTTAATTCCTCTGCGCGTAATGACAAATAGAGGTGTCTGGATTTTGGGCCACATTCTCGTGCACTGCAGCAACGTTTTCAACCGAACGGCGTAAACGAGCACGCAATGGTGTTTTCACAACTGCCACAGACCGGGTTTGTTTGAATTTACGATTTTTTCCAAGTGTACTCTTGAAACTTTAGCACATCGCTTAATTGTTGATCTTTCCATGGTTTCCAAAGACTCAAGTTGTTAAATCTGAAAGAAAAAGAAAAAAAATCATTAGACGCTTAAACTTAATTCACATTTAAAATAGGTCCAACTTATTGGAACACTCTTTATAAAGAAACAGGAAAATTTTACTCGAAATAAAGAAACGATAACTGAATAACTATGTAATATCAACTTTCCCAAATGACAGTGAATGCAGGGGGAATTCTTCACAAAAGAGAATTAGATTTGAAGCAACAGAGATGTGGTTCTACAGAAGGATGCTGAGAATACCACAGACAAAGCAGTGAGCAATGAGGAAGTTTTAAGGAAAATAGGTAGAAAAAAGTACACTTGTCAGAAAGAATTTAAATATCTAGGACACCAAATGAGGAAAGAAGGCTTGGAGAATTTGGCACTCAGATGACAGGGCAGAGGGAAACATCGACTAACCTACCTCGTGTAGATGGATGCCGGCCAAGGAGTAAAATATTTGCTTAAAGCTTCAACTGATAGGAAGTTGTGGAAAACCATGACCGCGTACGTCATGAAAAAACACCACACAAGAAAGAAAAATTATAAATAATTCTGATTGGTCGTTCTTTTACCAAGACATTGGCAACAAGCTTGTACGCGCCAAGCGTCAATTTCTATCACTGTTCAAGTCCCTGTCGAGGTCAAAGCGACACTCGACAATGTTACTGCGCCATAAATTGATGTTTCTATACTTACTCTCGAAGCTAAATGCCTTCACCACACCCAACCAAATCCCTCCCGTCGACATCTTTTATCTTCCTGTCGACACTCGACGGTCATTGCTTCGCTCTGTGTCGTTTCGCAATCCAAATAGCCTACCGACGAGATCAAAGCTTTCAATGAAAGATATACTCCGGAAAAGACGAAGCTGAAGTGCGTGGCTAATTGGACATCCGCTTAAAGTCTATATTTATTGCTAATTTCCAATTGGAGACGGAGGAATTAGGAAGACAGAGATCGGAGAAAGAATAGCAAAGGAGGGAGAAAATGTTGAGAAAATTAGTCGGAGACAAAAAGAAATAATAATAATAATAATAATAATAATAATAATAATAATAATAATAATAATAAGCTAGCAGGTGATTCGATTTAAGTGTGGGTGATGTTGCGCAAATGTGAGTAATTGTGGCCACGATAGAAAATAATTGTGAAAAGATATGAATTAAAATACTATTTTCTTGTCTGAAAACTGACAATAGTCAACGTCAAACGATTCTAAACGATATATATATATATATATATATATATATATATATATATATATATATATATATATATATATATTATATATATATAATTTATAGATATATAATACTCTAACACACAGACATATATATAATAATAATTTATAGATATATAATTCTATAATAATATATATATATATATATATATATATATATATATATATATATATATATATATGAGTGTGTGTGTGTGTGTGTGTGTGTGTGTGTGTGTGAAAAGTGTATATAAATATAGATAAATATATATATGTATAATTATTTATATGCGCGGTACTTATAATTATAATTATAATTACTTATAATGTATATACTTATAATTATTTATATGCGCGATACTTATTAGAAAGCGCTCAATATCAGAATAGAATACTTATATTTGGTTGGATAGATGTGAGTTTGTGACCCTGGGTTTCACGCTTTAGCGATCTTCATTGTAAAGCATGAAACCCAGGGTCACAAACTCACATCTATCCAACCAAATATATATATATATAGAAATTGTGAATAGAATTGCAAAAAGCGGCTAACGCGTTTGGAAAACTACGTCACCGTCTTTGGAATGACAGGGGTATTCGTCTTGCGACAAAAATCCACATGTACAAAGCAGTTGTCCTCACTACTCTTTTGTATGGATCAGGGGCCTGGACCCTGTATCGTAAGCAGATTCAGCAATTAAATGTTTTTCACAAAGGATGTCTCCGGACAATCTGTGGACTAACCCTGCAGGATAAAAAATCCAACGCCGACCTTCTAACGATGTGTAACATTGACGGAATTAAGAGCTTCCTCATGAGGGCACAGTTACGATGTGCCGGTCATGTTGTGCGGATGCAAGATGGTAGAATTCCAAAGATTCTCATGTACAGCCAGCTTGAAGGTGGTCAACGGAATTTTGGCCAACTCTTGCTCAGGTTTAAAGATAAGCTGAAAAGTAACCTTGCAGCTGCAAATATTGCACACACTGATTTGGAGAATACTTCCTTGGATCGCAAAGCTTGGAAAAGTGTAACTAACACTGGAATCAGGAATTTTTCGGCCACAAGCGTTGTCAAGCTCCGTGAAGCAAGAGAAAGGAAAAAAGCCTCAGAGGGTGCCAGAGAAGTGCACCCTCTTTGCTCACACGCTTGCCCAATCTGTGGTTTTCTTTGCAAGGGTCATTAAAAAGTTGTCGGAACCTCATACGTCGAAATCGACGGGAGAGTCCATCATATGTATATATATATATATACAAATGAGAGAAAGAACAGATGGAGTAAAAATTCACTGTTCGTAGCATTTACTTTTTAAAAGTGCTCAATACAAAGTAGAGCAATATGTTATAATTATTTTTTTATTATAAGAGATTAAAATAAAAACATTTTTGAAATCGCA